AAGAAATCAGTAAGTTCAAGTGTTAGTAATGATTTTTTCATTAATTACTTGTTTATCAGTAAGTTCGTGAACCATTTTCCCTAGTTCTGTGCCGCGTGGTTCCCGAGTGATTAAAGAATTAGGGAGTTTTTCGCTCAACTTTTCAATCAGGGTGGATTTGCCACTACCGTCGATTCCTTCAATGGTAATTAATAATGCTTTTTTGTTCATATTTATTTCGTCTTATTATTTTATTATTTAGTGAAGTTGTTTTCTATTCAATTGAATTATTTGTCCTTTTTTGAGTATAACCAAACTTGCTAGCATCCAAAGTGGACTTTTCAATTTGGCTAGCCCCTAAAGTTCTTAAATAGTAGGTGGTTTTTAATCCTTTTTCCCAAGCCAAAAAATAAATATCATTTAACTTTTTTCCCGAAGTTCCGTTCATAAAAATATTATGGCTAATACTTTGATCAATTCATTTGCTTCTTTCGGCAGTAATTTTGATCATTCATTCGGGGTCTAATTCAAATACTCCTTTATATTTTGTTTTTAATTCTTGGGAAATATAAGGAATACTTTGAATACTGCCATTGTAATACTTTAACCATTCTAAAGTTTCCTGATTTCATAAATTTAGTTTTTTTAAGTCTGCTACTAAATATTTGTTCACTATTACGAATTCCCCCGCAATATTGCTCTTAACATAAAGGTTACTATACATGGCTTCGATACAGGGATAGCAACCAGCGATATTAGAAATGGTTGCGGTGGGAGCAATCGCCATAGTATTGGAATTTCGCATTCCATTTTGGCGAACTTGCCGGCGAAGTTCATTCCAGTCCATTCTTTCTTTTCTTTCCACTTCGATTTTCTCTCCGCGCTCTTTTTCTAATAAAGTTAAAGTATTCAAAGGAAAAATACTTTTCAGTTATCTCATCAGTAAACTTCAAAGTTTCCGGAGAATTGTAAGCTAGGTTTAATTGAAATAAGGCATCTTGAAAACCCATCATTCCTAAACCAACTGGTCGGTGTTTCAAGTTGGAGTTTTTGGTCTCGGCAGTAGGATAATAATTTAAATCAATCACATTATCTAACATTCGCATGGCTGTAGTAATTGTTTGTTGGAATAATTTTTCATCTAGTTTCCCCTCATTAATAT